TTGTTAACTTGGAAATTTTTTAAATGCTGATGAGCAAATGGCAGCTGCTGAGAGACATTGGATTATAATAGGAACTGCTAAACTAAATCAGCCTGTATACTTTTAGGGATGTCTTGGCTTCAGAATGGAAGCCAGGAAATGTAGTGCATTGGGGAAGAGGTTATGCCTTTGTTTACACAGGAAATGAAAGGCTGTGGATTCCTTCAAGGTTAATAGAGATCAGGTTTGATTAGGGGAGACCTCCTGAAAATCTTGGCTGAAGACAAAGAAGTAAACCAAGAAAAACTACATGGCAGGTGACGTATGTACGGTCCCTCTGCATGGGAACAGTTCTGAGACTGGACAACAAATGTTACAAATAGTTTTCCCAGGACTTGACTACTGTCTCAATTTTCTCAGGGTCCCCTTGAGATGCCATCACCCCAGACAACAGGAAGCAGTCTAGAGATCACGATGCCCACATTCCCAAGACATAGGGTAGATTGTTTCTAGTCATTCAGTGGATGTTTGTCATTGTTTAGGGGGTTGGTTGCAAGTTGTTATTGGTTATGGTCAGGGAGGAAACTAAACAAAGGAGGTTAGATTCAGGGTTCTTTTTTCATAAAAGGGCGGGGGGTGCTGTGGGATGTTCTGTATGGCAAATGTGTTGCTCTGATTGGTCAATAAATAAAACACTGATTGGCCACTGGCTAGGCAGGAAGTATAGGCAGGACTAACAGAGAGGAGAAAAGAAAGAACAGGAAGGCAGAAGGAGTCACTGCCAGCCACTGCCAGTACAAGCAGCATGTGAAGATGCCGGTAAGCCACAAGCCATGTGGCAAGGTATAGATTTATGGAAATGGATTAATTTAAGATATAAGAACAGTTAGCAAGAAGCCTGCCACGGCCATACAGTTTGTAACCAATATAAGTCTCTGTGTTTACTTGTTGGGTTTGAGCGGCTCTGGGACTGGTGGGTGACAGAGATTTGTCCTGACTGTGGGCAAGGCAGGAAAACTCTAGCTACGAGGCAGGGGGGGGGGGATAAGAAAAGGTAGATTATTGAATCTACTTTTTAAATAAAAATAATAAGATAAAAGGGTAGATTATTAAATCTACTTAAAAAAAACTGCTAGTCTCAAATATTTCACATTGGTATGGATTTTTCTATATTGATACAAATTTAAAGTTATTTTTATTATACTATATGTATGTTTCTACTCTTGTTTAAGGTATTGTACCTATGCAGATCATTTAAAATGTAATATATAATTTAAAAATACAGGTTAATAGTCATTTATAATGATCAAACTTATAGTCATGTTAGAAATGCTTTCATGATTAAGCCTTGGTTTGTTTAGCTCAAATATACTTAATAGCTAATGGTCCTCAAACTTGTCAGAGATCTGATTAATAAGGCATTTAAAATATTGAATGGAAAAAGCTTACTATAACAGAGAGAGACTCCTGGCTTTTAGCAGTGATCCCAAAGTCTCCAAAGAAAATAACAAGGTACCACAATGACTCTGCCTGAATTGTGGTAATGCTAACTACTGGACAAGAATGCCCTGATACAGCACCTGCCACCAGGATCCAGCCCCAGTTGTAGGCAAGCAGGACACTAGAGAATTGATTGTCCATTTTTCCTAGACAAAGTAAGATTAGTCTCATCCTTGTTACTCCTCCATAGGAAAAACTCTTACCTTCTGGACCTGGTAGCCAAAGACTGATGCTGTACCTCTGCCTCCAATGTCATAGAGACCACAAGAGCATGAGTTGGCTATCTAGGTAACGGACTAGTCTCTGTCATTTTAATTGATACACAGACCATTTAGATTATACTTCATGCTATAATTCATCCTTCTCAAACGTCTGATGTTATTTATGACTAGGCTGACCATAACTTTGTCAACTTAGCAGCAGCAGCAGCAGCAGAAGACAACCAGATTCTTCCCCAAGGCTACAGCTACCTTGTTAGCTTATTTCATGTGTAAAAATCAAGCCTTGCTTTTTCTATAACTACTAGGTCTCCTTTAGAGAAAAGGTAGGCAGGTTTGTCTTGCTAATAGGCTTGAATACTAGATCAAAAGGAAACTCCCTGTCACAGGGGACAAAATGGCTACCTATAGTGCCTATTGGCATACCAGGAAAGGTGCCTGTTAGAACCAAACAGACCCAGATCTATCAACAGGAAGATTCATTAGCTGAAATATTTCTGTAATATTATAGAGCACTCAACCTGCTGTATGTAAAACAGAGAGGTTATTGTACAGCTTTAAGGGAAAATTGTTGTTTCTATATAAACCACTCAGGAATTATTAGAAATAATCTGGCAGTGCTACAGAAAAAAATTATTACAAAAAAGGGACCTGAGATGAAGTAAATAACTGGTCCCCATTCTCGTTTCCAGGTTCCTTCTAGATAGTAACTCTGTCAGCCAACACAAGACCTTTGGCCCGTCTGTTTCTTCTAATTGCAGTTGGCTCTTGCATCACTGATGCCTTCATTGAGTGATGATTCCTGTCTGGGTACCATTAAGCTGATGCTTATTAGATCCCAATATAAACAGAGTCAAGGATTTGACTCAGGATACAACTCAAGGGGGCAATATGAGAGTCAAAGTTACATTTTAAATTTTAATTACTATGCATAAGAGATCCATGAAACAAAAAAATGCCCCTGATCTGCAAGCCCAAGGACAGACAGTTCCCGAAATGCTGGAGGCCATTGTTTATGGGAGATGACAAGCCACAGGTTTTTTTACTTCCCTAAACAAGTGTGTTTGACCCATTTGCACCAGATGTGCTTGACCACATGTGGGCAGGGGGTACGTAGGCAGGAAATAGTCAGGATGTATGCTTGCCCCTGATTGGATGTAGGCTGGAGAATGTCAGAATGTATGCTTGCCCCTGATTGGATGTAGGCTGGAGAATGTCAGGATGTATGCTTGCTCCTGATTGGATATAGGCTGGAGAATGTCAGGATGTATGCTTGCCCCTGATTGGATGTAGGCTGGAGAATGTCAGGATGTATGCTTGCCCCTGATTGGATGTAGGCTG